CAATGATAACTCAGAGAAAGATATGGCTTAAAGACATCCAATAACTAAAACAATTATTCATTTGAAAGTTGGTTCAAAAATGTTGATCAACCAAAAAATGTATCCATGTAGTTGTTGTCTTTTCAGGAGTGTTCAACTTACCAAAGTTACTCTGGGAGCTTATCTAAAACTGTGTAATCCTATCTGACCTCAGTTTTAATCAATGCTCATGATTCAGCAGTAAGAAATAGATTAGACACTGCTGACCTTTCCTACACAAACAAGAGCAATCAGGTCAGTTTACCCTAATCTGTAGAACATGATTGGAACATGTGTTTAGAGGATATCGATGTGACCATAAATCATCATTTTCAATTAAAGCACAATTCTGATTAAGCTCAGTCTAATCACAGTAATCAATGTATGCAGTCATTTTTTTATTCTATTACTCCTTCCTTTCGAATACTCTTGCCCATGAAAAAAATGCATATGGCACTCAACGTATGGTGACGGTCTGAATGTTTTTTGTAACCTCAGAACTGGGACAACTTGCAATAATTGGTAACCGGTGTTGTGCCACAGTCATGCTATTTATTTTGAACATTGGTTTAACAGGATGCAGGTTTGCTTTAAAGACTGTAAAGCTTAGTCCCCTCTGCAAGAAACTCTCAAAAGGATGAAGCTTCAAAGGAGGTCTGAGGTTCCCCTGCCAAGCTTGCTATAGAGTCCTCACACCCACACATTTCTTTAATGTGCATTGGGAGGGGACATTCCGAATTAGAGGTCTTAAACCACAGATCACATGTCTAGATAGACCCACTCTTTAAACCCACAGTTTTATGTTGAGTAGAGCTACTTTGATAAACAGACTACCTGCATTGTTCTTTCTGAGTTTTACAGAAGAAATTTAGCCCAGGGACTCTAGAAAAGAACTAGTAAACAGCTTGAATAGTTCAGTTAAAACAACTAGACGTAAATTTTTCTAGAAGACGTTTCACATATGTTATAGTATTTTCCTATTTGCAATGTGTGCATGCATAATGACATATATTGTTATGCTATGTCTGTGCATCAGCCTTGTGTCTGTGTTTGAGCTCCTTTTTTTCCTCAATATAACATGCAATATACATTCCACTTAATAAAGAATTACTACATTGAAATTTCACAGTAAATGACTTTCTATTTACTCTACTTTCTATTTTCTAACATTAGACACAATGTCAATGGCTTAGTCAGCCATTGACATATTAAGCTACATATTATACTATGGGATAGATCGGCGTATATATGGATTGTCTTGGTTAGTACATCCACTGACCTGTGAAATGTCTTCCCACAGCCGGAAAACTACTTGTTCTTGCAGTGAAATGGCATTTTTATGTCACGTCTCTGTGGGAGCGGGGAGTTCCAATATGGCGGCCTACGGCTTCACTTTTTTTGGGCTATCAGCAATCCAGTGAATAAATAAAGATCAGTGGCATGGACACACCATACTCTCCTGAACATTGACACCTCAGCTTTCCCAGAACAGAGATCAACAGAGGTGTCAGGGCTGGCAGTCACGGTGAAGCAGTGTTGTTTTTGACAGTCATTTTAGATTTAGTCTTAGGGTATTTCCCAATATGTGTACTTGTATGTTCTCATGTACACGTGTACTCGTGAAATGTCATCAGCCTCAGCCCTTGTACTGTTCCAATTTACAAGAACAGCAGACCGATATCGGACAGAGTCCCCGGATATTATTCTCGTCTCTCCCTATTTACCAAGTATCAGAGCCGACTTGTCCGTTCTTGAGATTATATGGCAAAAAAAAAAAGCAAAAAAGCAAAGAACAAAAACATTCTTCTTTCTACTTTGGCAATTTTGGCTTTATTTCTGAGAATTTCCCCACTGCTCAGGTTTCAAAGTCTATTTAAATTCACAGGGTTTTGATATAAAAAGGAATAGAAAATTCATGGCAATCCAGACCTAAATTAAATGAATATGCTAAATTAAATTCTGACATATTCAAAGTAAACATAGAAAATGTTTTAATGACAATACAAGGAAACATTTACATAATATTCAAATAGATAGAACGGAGAACAATGAGAGAGAAATATTCAAAGGTCTATTTACCTTTTCACCTGGCTCTTTATCCAAAAATAAACAGTATACAATGAAATATTTTCTTTGGATATAATTTAGGGATTCCTTTTTGTAGAAATTAAAGAATGTTTAGTGAGCTGGTAGAAATAAAATCTTGATAGTTAGACAAAGGGATTTTTTATGCTTGCTAGCAGATGATCAGCCACAAAGTTTATTAAGTACAGAGAGAAGGAAGAGCAATACTGCTGAGAGCGAACCTTTAGAGTGGAGCAGAAAGCACAGACTCTGAGCCACGCATGCGCAAAGACGCATTTTTGCCCAAGCAAAACTGGAAGACCAGATCAGTTTGTCAGAGTTCATTCCGGGTTATTTTCTCCCCCACCGCTGCTGGCATGATAAATCTGTTTGTGTGTCCAGTGATACCTTAGTGTTTCTGATTTCCTGCTTGGCCTCTAAACCACTGAGCCCTCCTGTTCCCATCCGATCAGTTTGCCTGACCTATTTTTGGACTCCTGCCTGCTCCCCTCAGATCTGTTTGTCTAAAGGCCCATTCATACCTCACGTTTGGCCTGCATGTCCGTATTTCTGTCCGTACGTTCTATCCGTTGACTCCTTCATACCTCCGTCCGTTGAGGTGCGCAATAACCCGTATTTCCTCTAGGTGGCAGTGCTGGGCGCCAATGATTCGTCATTGATCAAAACATGGCGATGGTCCAAGACCTGATTCTGTTGACATTTTGTACTAAAAACTCAATAGCGCCCCCACCGTTTCCGGTAGTATTGCTCCGTATTGATCCGTTTCGTCCGTAAGCGTAAGCTCCCAATTTTCGTGTCAAAGTACGGACGAAATCGACGGTTAGAACGTATGAAACACTCCACACGTATCCGTATCCGTCTTTTACGTGAGGTATGAATGGGCCTTAACCTGTCTTTGGATTCCTGCTGGATTTTTCCTGTCTAATGAACTTGGGGATGTTTCCTGGTTCTGTATCCTGAGCATGCCCTTGGCATTGGCTTTGGTTTTGCCCTCTGGATTATCCTGCCTACCTTCATCTGTTTAAATCTTCAAGGCTTTAGTGTCTGGATCTCTCTTTGTGGCAACCGCTGCGTCTTGTCAATGAAATCAACCTTGTTCTCTGGGCATGGACTGAGCTAAAAAACCAGGTTAGTGTCTCACAAATTCATAACCATCCTCCGTCATTATCATGGTCACTAACCTGTATTTCTCTCCTGTAGAGGTTCCTGCCTTGGGAGCACCGCCGATCTGTTTTTAAATTAATGCTTTTTGAGTAATCCCACATTCTAACTTGCCTTGAATACTGGGTCATCTGTTCTGAGCCGTGATAAGTACACTTCTAAATAAGAATAAATGAATCCTTAAAATGTCAAAGTCCAAACAATTAATTAACACTTGAAACAAGATCTTTAAATCCAAAACCCTGCAGTGCAACTTAATTAAACAATTCTGCAAAACAAGTGGGCCACAATGCTTACAAATAATTAAGGATAAAGTTAACAATGATAAATACTGGATAATGTTTTTTAACCAATCAAGGTTAGATTAGTCTGTTAGTAATATTTATGTTCATTTGAAATCTTTAAGTGTCACAAAAAACAAAACCAGAAAAACTCATTAAGGGAGCAGATGCCATTTCACAGTGCAATAGCTCAGTTTCTCCATGTTTTATAAAGTTTCTTTTCCTTCTGTCATACAGGTGATTTTTTTTCTCCATTATTTTTCTAAAGTGGATTCATCTAACTCTCTGATGTAAAGACCAGACAATAAGCCTCCCCCTCAAGGCCCCATTAATGCAAAACCCAGGGTCTGCAGGTTTGATATTCATCGCCTGGGCAACCTCTGCCATCAACACATTTTGAGCCACGTGAGAATGATCACAGCTTATTAAAGTGGAAATAATGACTGCTCTGCCTCCGGCATGAAATATTTAACAAGGACAAAGGAGATGGCTCAAAGGTGATTTATATCTGTGTTGAAAAAGGAGCATGTGGACAATACCATCCTTACAGAAAGTGCATGTGACCCTTTGCCAACCTTAGCTAAAGAGTGCACTCCGTAGATGACTTTTTACCTTAATGTGAATCAGACAGCAGAGGGTGTTCTGATTTAATGTTTACTAGATATAACAATGATATTGTCATTAAAATAAGCAACTATGAGGACACTGCACATCCTTGATTTCTTCTCTTGAACTTGACTGCACACAAAGTAGTCGTATAAAAGCAGCTTTAAGATTGTGTTGAATTCTATCAATTCATAAAAATAATTTCTCTTTCCCACTCAGCTTAGAACATACACAGCATTCATTTCCTAGATGTGAGATTATTGATGTATTTTCCCTCCAACTTGGGTAAATTAGCTCTTTGGTCTCTTGGGAAAAATCTGGGGAGAAGGAGGAGAGCGAAAAATGTTCTCCATCAAGTGCGATTGAATTGGATTTCACAAGATAAATTGCTGGGACAAGAGTTTATCCCAATTACATTGCCAAGAGGCTCCAGTCCTCCTGTAGCCACTCTGCTCAACAGCAATTAGGGTCAGCTTTTAGTTACCAGGATCCTCCATTGTGAAAAGATGTTTACAGTCTGAGCAGAAAGTAGATAAATGGATAAATGGATGAAGAATTTAAAAGAGGTTTGTGGTCTGATCCAAGGACCCACAAAACTATAGATCTGACAGCCAAAACCTGAGAGGGAGAAAACACAGCTGTAACCCATCGGCCCCAGATTAACACTGCCCCTGGTTTCTTGTGGGGCCTCCTGTTTCCCCCTCTTGCTTATCTTATGTCTTTGTAGAATCCTTCATGATTTGCAGATGTGGAAACTCATGTTGTTTTTAATCCGTCAAGAAGACCACATTTACCTCAGACACAGTAGCAATAAGACTGATATCTGAAATTTATACTTCTCAGTCTTACCTTTCCCAGACTGGGGCCCCACAGATAACTCAGACTGAAAACACAGACAGCAAGCACCAGAAACACCACGGCCAAGACCAGAGCCATCCAGTGGTAGTTGTGAAATCTGGTCTTCTTTTGCTTTTCTGCTTCCACCTGTAAACAGTTCATAGTGTGTTTGTAAAACTTGTACAGGGAAAACGTAATCAAACAGAAATCACCAGAAATATGATGTATTTAAGTAAGAACTTTTCATTTTTGATTCAAAAAGAATGATCCACTGAAAAACGTATGTGGTTGTACAATATATGAAATACATGGTTGGGGCAACTTTAGCTTGAATAACACTATTATTTTAGTGTGGCATGAGGCACAGGCTTTAACAAGAAGATGATGTTTGTTGCGCTACAGCTACATACATTCTTCAAATATCCCTACAAAGCTCTGATTTTGTCTCATGAGGCTAAAGAACCTGCTTCACTATCAGACTCATTCACAAGACTGTCCTTAGCATACTTCAGCAAGGCTTAAAAATGTCTCTTCTGAAAAACTAGTTTTCTTTGGACAATAACCTTACAAAAAATTCCTGCGCTGAGCTCTTGAGATTTTATCCTTGTAGATAAAGATTCATGACTTGGAAAAAAAATGAAAGAAGAAAGAAAATTAGGCGGTCAATACTTTTGTGTACAGTTTTTATGTTAACATTTTTTATTTTTATTTTTTGCATTTTAAACACTTATCATTGTGTATTTTTTATTCATACATTTGCTTCTTGCATCTTTTGATGTATCCATTGTGCTTTCACTTTAGCCCAGTTTTGTGCCTCAATTCGGTTTGGTCAGTTTGGATCTTTATGCTTCCTCATCTTCTTTATCATTGTTAGTAGAGCATTATTGTTTCTTATTCCCTATAGTTGTGATGAAAAAACCACAACGTTTCCTTTTTTTTGTAAGATTGTATATTTAAGATTATTATTTAAGATGAGGTAATTTATAGAAATTTGGTAAAATCCAATAAGGTCCAGTATTCCCATGATCAGACCTTTCTAGCCTAAAACCCCTGAATGTACCTTGAAATCGTATTTAGCCTTGAGTGTATTTAAAACACATGGCAAGATCTTACTTTACAACAGCATTTCTTTGCATTTAATTTTTAGGTTTCTGCATGTGGGTCACTCTAAAAAAAAAAATAAACTGTCTACTGAAAAGGTTAGCAGTGGCTCAGATAGAGAGCCAAAGGAGAAAAAAAACTCACAGCTACATGTGTCACGTGAAGGTTACAGTTATTAAACTTCCTTTTGCATTAAAACTCTGCCCGCTGCCAACAATTCCCCAAGCTTAAGGACACAAATTAATAAAGACAGTCTTTTGTTCCACTGGAGCTCCAGCGGGGAGAAAATGAAAACTTCTCATTCACAGCGGACCATTTTAGGGTCTCAGAGGACAACAGAAAGGCAGATACATGAAAAAAGGAGCTAAGTTCAATTAACAAAATTGGTGTTGCTTATCTTTGTGTCTTTAAAATTGATGATAGTGCAGCTTTGTTTTTCTTTCGTTTTTTTGGGGGCTGAACTTGTGTGTTGTGGATGAGCATATTTTGGATTGGTCAGTATATTTACATACTCACTCTTAATATAATACAGTGCTTTGAAAACATTTGTACTGCATAACTTAGTGATATTTTATCATTTTAGAACCAATAACTATAATATATCTTATTGGTATATTATGCAGTAGCCCAACACTAGCTGCTAAGTCAATTCAGATGAAATTAGTTTATATACATAGAGCCAATTAAAGCGGATGTCATCTTAAAGCACTTTAGAGAGATAATTCAATCGAGTCATGCAGTAAAATTGGTTAAAAGTTGTCCATCTAAGTGAAAGCAGGCTGATTACACTGAGTCATTGTCTTTACAGTAATCCTTCACTCCAAATATTCATGCAATGTAAGCATAGACCTATCAAAAAGTTGCAGGACACTGACCCTAAATGTATGGAGTTTGAGACCACTGCTGTAGTGAAAACTAAGTTTTGTATTTCTAAGGGTCTAATTTTTCCAGTCAATTTGAATAAAACCCTCTGCCAAATACATTAAATACAGAACATAAGTCTGGGGTTGTGACGTAATAAAATGTATATATTATATCTTCTAAATGAATGGTTATGTAAAATATTTATTTGATAGAGTAGACTAACTATTCAGATAAAAAAAAAAAACAGCTGTGCTTTTGGATTCTGGATAAAATCTTTAGCAGCCTTCAAAAGTACAATCGCTTTTCCATTATATGAAATCAACCTGAACATTTCTTCATTGGATGCATTTTAGAAATCAACCACAGAAATGTGAGGTACATAAAAGTTATAATAATCCTCAGGGCACAATGAAAAACAGACATCTACAGTAGCCTGAAATTCCAAACTTGCTGAATTCCTCAGTAAGAGGAGGGGAAGAAAAATAGAAAGAACTGGATGAAATTCATTCTCATGTGGCAGGTTGCATAAGGAGTGGAAACTTAACTAGAGGACAAAGCTCTCACTGGCTGCCTTTGAATATAAAATGTTCAGTGGAAAAAGGTGGGATAGAAAGACAGACGGTCAGTCAGACAGAAATAAAGACAGGGATGGAACTTGAATGAGCAGTCTGAGTGCACAGTGCCCACCAACTAGTGTTTAAAGGTTTAGGAGTTCAGAATCAGCCAAGCAATTCCTCCTGAGCTCTGGGAGGAAAAGTGCCCAGAGCCCTCCTGTTGTTATCAAGCCAAGAAACAGCAAATTCTTAAGAAAACAACAGAAAAATACTCTCCTCGCCTACATAACCAACAAGCTTAAGCTGTGGTACACCTCACCAGGCCAGGCTCATATCCACATTTAAATTCCTGTGGTAGCTAAATTAGGCCACAGGTGATTTCATATTTATACCACTTTTGTCACTATATATTCCTGGATTTATACTTGCAAAGGCGGTGGCCTTTTCTTTAAAGTACAATGAAACAATTATCCCTTATACTCCTATATATAAGAAAAACAATGCGTTGATACCTTTTGCTGTATTCAATGCAAGCTCTACAAGAAATCAGAGCAAAAGGGTTTCAGAACAAAAGAAAATTCTTTTTGATCCTTCATTTTAAGTAGCAAGAACAAGCTAAAGTACATAATATGGTTTGGATTAGGCAACAAAAGAGGGGAGATGAGGGTAAAGAACCTGAAGGATTTACCAGGACAAATTATAATTCTGTGAAAAGAACACATAGATAATTCTACAAGATATAAAGATACTAAAAACCAGACTACTAAAATATTTAATTGTAATATTACACTCCAGTTTCACAATTTTTTTCATATTTTCAAAGAACTACTTCTTGCACCTGCCACTAATTTAATCATCCTTAATATTTTAAAGTTCATCAAGTAAGATTTAATAAAATATGCATACAAAACATATTTTCAAGCTATCCTTGCAGCTGATTAGTTAACTGTGATAAAATAAATAGAAAATGATAAAATATACTCACATCTTTCCACAAAACTTGCTGACTGCTGGACTGACTGCTAACCTCCATGATGCAAGCCCACAGGAGGAATCTTTCCGATCGTCTCAGCTGAGGAAAAATACCAAACCGATTCGAGGAAAAGAGTCCAAGCTTCATTCAACTGCTGTAATTTAGTAGTGCACTGAAAAGGGAGGGGAGTTTGAGATGGAGTGGAATAACTG